AAGGACAGCTCATATTGTTCGCCTCCCCAGACATCAAGACCTTCATCGTAGCCTCCTAGTTCCCAGAAAAATTCTTTGCTGATAGCAAATAAGCCACCCGCCATCACAGGGCTCCTGGGAATGATTGGACGAAACCGAAAAAGAACCAAAAATAAAAGAAATCAAGTTTGATTCCTAACCTCGTGGAGTTTTATCTTAATTTCAGAGACCATGTCAAATGAAGCAACGGTGGAGAATGTCTCAATAAAGGAAAATAAACTAAAGAAAATATTAGATATGAGCGAGATTGTTGTCTAGAGTAGAAGAGTATTAACTTTTCTTCCGTCGAATATTTTTATTGTTCAGGCTTCAGGCTTTTTGAAACAAAAGAAAAATATGTGGATAATCGACTAAGTAATAGAATTTCGATAGCGCATATAGGGACCATTCTTACTTTTTTTGTCACCTTTAACAGAAAAAGGAAATTGCTTTATTTGTTTGAATTCCTCATAGGTACAAATCCTATTCTGAAAGTAAACAAAAAGATATTTTTTTCATTCATGTGCATACATACATATATATAAATAATCTCTCTCTCTTTCTATATATATCTTTTTTTCTATCGTGGAAAGAAAATTATTTCTTCTCAACACACATTTCCCGAATATTAGAAGAAATATTGTATTCATCTAAATTGCATATAACTCTGGAACTGAATATAGAATAGAAATTAAATTTTTCTCCTTGAAGTTTCTTTTACAAAAAAGCAAAAGCTTGCTTTAGGCTTCGAAAATATTTGTTTCATTTTAAGTTAATTTCGAATTTGAGATTAAAAAAAAGTCACGAAAAGTAATGCAAAAATAATATTTATTTGCAAATCTCTGATGCAAAGCAAAACGAAAAGCATTGGTACCAATAAGTAATAAAGTTGGGCAGCACGGTTATGACTGTTATGACTATTGTTTCGCTATTAATCCCTAATTAATTTAGTATGATGCACCAAATCTATAAAAATTTTCATTTACTTAAAGAATTCTATTCATGTAAATTGAATTTTGGTGTAGATGCATTTTATTTCTTTTAAGATAGCAAGATAGTATTAGCATGTGAAAATAAGTTGAAGTAGGACTAACGTGCAAACAGTACAAATGGTGTTAGGGTGCAAAAAAATGCAAATTTCATATGATAATTCACTTTACTTCTGTATTAGCTGACACAAATTTAGATGAAACCCAATAAGAAGCTGGTATACTCTCTAATGTACAGTTTAGTAGGCATATGGAATGAATTTTTGAGACGAAGTACTATAAATTTTTCAAGTACGCTATTTTTGCGCAATTGCTGTTATTTAAGGAATTACGTTTTTTATACATGTATTTGTTATCATTCTGGGTGTACTCATAAAAGATTTTGGAGTTTTAGTTTTATACACTTTTTAATGTTATATTTCAGCACAGTGTTTTTTTTAATATATTTAGCTTTCTCTTACACGCTTAATTTGAACGTAAATAAAAACTGACGTGAAATAACTTATTTTTCTGAAAAATGTAAATATTAAATATATTCTATTTATTGTAAAGCATGCTACATTTAACAAGGAGTTACATAATTTAATTTTTTTACCCTGTCCCTCGCATGAAATTTAATCGAATAAATAATAGCAAACATTTCAAACATTTTTTTGTAATTTTAATTTCATGATATAGATATTATTTGTATGCCACAGCAGTTTTCACAGCGTATCAGTTGTTGAGCTCCTAACCAACTGCGCAGCATTTATTGACATATAACTTTTGAGTATCAACATTACAAAAGTATTCCTAGGAATTCTTAAACATTCTGCAGCGTAATTAATGTGCGATGCTTTTAGGAGGCACATAGCAACTTTTCCTTAATTGCCAACTATTTCTATATGTATTAATTGAAGATGAACTATGAGTATGAAAGTTTTCATTCTTATTCTGTACTTATTCCGTTCTATACAATTGACTCCTTTGCCTCTTGCAAATAAGATAAAGTCTTCAGAACAAAGATTTTACTTTCTAGTACAAGAAATAAAGCGATCTAAGGAATATTACTTCTGTAGTTTCCGACTGAAATGTAATAAAAGTTTTATACGTATAGAAATTTTTGAACTAAGCCCTTCAAATATATAATAGACGATGTATTCTTTGTTAATGCTCCAGTAGTTTAATTATTAATTTTTTTATAGACTCAAGTATGTTCTCTCAAATATGAGCAGGTGTTTCTCAATCTTTAGAATGAGAAACAAATGTAATGTCACTTATTTACACCAAAAAGTTAAATTAATTTCCTTAAAAGCTTCAGAAAAATAAGTCTGTTGTGTTATGAGTTTAAAGAATTCGAATATTTTCAAGCCTTTTGAATCGCAAACGTCGAAATTTATTTATTCAAAATAAGATCTACTGCTGTTTTAAATAAATACTTAAATACTAGTGGAAAAATTGCATGGTTTGCTGAATTATAGTGTGAATATACAACTAAATATTTCATAATTAAAGGTCACAGTAATAGTACTTTAAATGTATCTAGAATCTAAATTAAAACTCATAAACATAAACTTAATTGCATATAGATTTTCATATTGTACTGAAATTATAATGGGTTATCTCTTTTACGTACATCTGGAGATATCTTCTCATTTTATAAGGTAAAGCTACCAATTTTAGAAGTTGCATTTTATATTAAATTAACATAAAATTAAATAATATAAATAACCGTTATATTAATATAGCGATTTCTTTCGACTACATGTTTAATTCCAATGTACTGTGTTTGAGAATTTGTTTAAGTTTTTCATATTGATCTTAAATTTAAGCTTGTTTCCTTCCATGACAGGAGTAATAATAAACAAAAGCGAAAGGATGATAAAGTTTCTTTAGAAAAAATTACAAGGCAAAGAAGTTTTTAAAATTTTGTTTAAAGAAAATTATGTTTTTATTGTAAGAAAAGATTGAGTAATCTAAGTAATAAATGCTTTGTAAGAAAAGATAGAGTAATATAATTAACAAATAATTCGTAGGAAATGATGGAGTAATCTAATTAATGAATAATTTCTAAGAGAAGACAGAGTAATCTAATTAATAATGAAATTTAAATTACTTAAATAATTAAGTAATTTATAATAAAATAAGTGAGTTCAGAATTTCGCACCTAAGTGTTTGAAATTCATCATTTGAATACTTCTGAATTAGCATAAATAAATTGAGGCATATTCCTTTATATCAATTATTAAAGCAATTTAAATTAAAAAAGAATTAGTTTTTACCAAAACAACTTTATTTTCAGATTTATATTGTTTTACATCTACAGTGGTTAATAATCTTGATCTTGTAGGGACGTAAACTTTGCATACAAAAGAAGAAAACATATTAATAATTTATTTGAAACACTTAAACGGTCTAAATGAAAACAGGTGATCTAGCTGCACTTACTTGAATGGATCAGCCGGACGTTTTAAGTCTTCTGGCAGTAAAGGAAGTCTTTTATAGTAAAGTTCCCAGTCAAATGCCCCTCGGGCACCTTCATCTTGGGCACGATAAGCTAGAGTTTCGAAATCTATCACGTCAATAAAAGGACAAGTGACAGTTTTTCTGTCCAGTGCTATGGGTTCTGAGGAAAACATGTTAATTATTTAAGATATAAATGATTATTACTTAAAAATATTCCATAAAATCATTGTTTGGTACTATTCGGTTTTGAGGACCGTAAAAAATCGCCAAGCTTTTTTTGATGCCAGTGCTGCCAAAAATAATTGCGGCAATCCTAATGCAAGAAGGGAAGTATAATAGTAAATAACGATCTAAGTAAGATTGATGTTTTAATTTAGATGAAAGGTTAATTTCATATGATATTTTTATCATTATACGAATTTATCTCGTAATTTATACGAAAAAGGCTAAACATGACTGAATGGAAGCATAAGAGTAAATAAACTATTTCAGATCATTATTATAATTTATATAAAAATTGCTAAACATAACTGAATGGATGCCTGCATCGCTATTTCGCTACCGAGTTATCGCTAAAGCATCGTTTCATTTCGTTCGTTGTTCAAACATAATTTTCTATAATGAATGATGCCTTTTCTTTGAAAAAATTCTCGGTAAAGTGCAAAATCGCCCACTTATTTGTTTGCCGCTTTTTGTAAGGGTAAAAACAATTGGATTTTTGTCAATTTTCTTTTACTTTTTAAGTTAAAATAGGTCAATGTGTACATAGATAAAGTCAAGGGTGTGCGCAGCGCCATTTCTGTGCAAATCTGGGATTTTTTTGAAGTCAAAAAATAGTCGATGTGTACATAGATACCGAATATGTGCAATTCTTAAAAACGCGTCAAGCAGTGGATGATTCTGCACTTTACTCCAAATTCTATTGCACACTTTTCGTCATGGGCAATTCCCAAATTGTTAAATCCATAGGATATCAAAAAAAGAATTTAAAATATAAAAAAAGATTTAAAAATTAAACTAGTATTTCAATGGCGTCTTAAGAAATATAGAACTATATAAACTTACGCAATCTGAAATCAGCGCGTACGCTAGATTTGGCGCGCTGTTTAAATGGGCGCGTTTGCTAGATTTGGCGCTTTTGCGCATACATTTTCACTGCAATTTTTTTACGGTCCTCAAAACGGAATAGTACCCATTGTTTTTTATTAGCAGAATTTACAAATTCTCTATCAATGACAATATCTGTAATTCTTTCACTGCAACCGATTATAGTATGCAGCATGCGATATGCATTTGATGTTTAGGAGCAACAAGATGGTTTTACACACTTAAAAATTTATATATTAATTATAATAAAAAATTGAAATGTAATAAAGTCCCAAAACGTAAATGCGCCTACAACTCTATTTTAGCCGTGCTGGTTGAGCGCTTGTACGTGCCAGTAGTGTCAGAAGACGAAACTTAAATGGAAAGCTATTGAACTTTCCGACCAGAATCTCTATGAAATTTTTTGAAATAATCATACTTTCAAATTAAGCAATAAGTGCAAAATGCGGCATTTTTCAGTCCTCCATAAGAACCAGGACAGAATGTCTAAATTGTCGCCCATTGACAAGCGCTTTGTACGGAAATTGTTTACCTTGTTGGAAAACAAAAATTTATAACAATTGCCAGAAAATATAAGACCCCCATCAACTGCAGAAAATTGGCACAGCTTTTTGAGACAAGTGGTGCAAGTGAATGCAATATGACACTAATTTGCTAGGGTATGTATATCAAATTCCAGAAGGCGTGAAACATGAGTATCGCAGTTTGCTACTGCCCTTACACTGGCCTGGCTACTTTGGCAAGTGGGCCAAAGAAGCAAACAATTCAATTTTATATATATCCCAGCATTTAGTTATTTCATCATCTAAATGCTTCTTCCATTATAAATATAAAGTTTACTGTGTGTGACATGCGTACCACTTCCAACTGTGAATCTGTTACCGTCATTACGTTAATATTCCTTGCACTCCTGCCTTTTTCTAAACACATTACATTGCTGATGACTGATATATGTAAATGATACGCGCAGTTTTATACTGGGGTATGCAATCTCTGATAGAATGCCTCAAACCTCAGAAATATCAGGAAATGTCACACTTTGCGTCTCTTATTTTATTCACATGCTTGATCAACTTTGACTGTTTCGTTAAAATTGTCATTGGAAATTCCAATAATTTGTTAAATGTTCAGCGGTGTCTGTAAAACTGTGAAAGACATTTTTTAAAGTCTGTAAGTAACAGTAGCTCTCAAAGTATCAATAAACAATGTTTTACAGTAATTAAGGAGAAACTATTTTCTGAGTAAAACTGCTTAAGTTCTCTAAATTTCTATTGATCTAAAGTCTAAGTAATGTTCATTCAGATTCATATGAACTCAAAGATTTTGTTTCCTTTTAACAACTTAATTGTTTCTCAGTTCTGCTCTTGTACTGCTGCCAAGTGAATCTAATGCGCGTAAAATATAAGGCGCAAAATTAAAAATCTATCCAGTACTGCTTTCAGATGAAAAAAATATTAGTAATGTTTCAATTTCGCCTTAGATTAATTGGTAACTGTACGGATCACTTCCGCATACGATTTTCTTTTTTTACCCAGAATTGAACCTAATATGTGAATAACTGCATTTGAATAAACTTTCTTCAGGAAAATTTCTTTTTTTCTGTTGCAGGTACGTTAAGCTATATAATAAATTTGAATCCTCTAAGATTTGCTCTTCTAAGAAATTTAAATGTTTTACTTATTTTTAACAAGCCGTGAAGCTTCTTTTCACAGAATAAAAATTAACTAATCTTCAATAGATTTTAAATTAACTCAAAATTTGCCTGAATAGGACAATTTCAAGTGTTATTTAAAGCGATTTGGACTTGCTCCAAGCACTTTGTGCAGCTGCGGCAGCGGCGATAAAGATGCCAATAAATATTCTTATTGAGAAACGTTCAGCAGAGGAAGATTCTTTAGATTAGTTTAAGGCACCGAATCTGAATCTTGCCATCAAATTTTTCTGAAGGAAAAATTCAATCAAATTTTTCTTCTTTTAGAAACTAAAAGATATATTTCCGTTTTTCAGAATTTCATTCTTAATTCACATTTTTAAGTTTTAAATTTTTATTTAAATCTTCTTCGACTTTTTTGGTAATGTTACTGTGTTTTATTTATTTATTCGTTGAGTTAGTACCACAAGTTACTTGCGTAAGCATCTTGGTATACTTTGTACACAAGCAGAGATAGAGTTAACAAAAATAAATAAATAATTAATACTTCAGAGCAATAAAATATAAGTGTTTTTAAAAAGTCTGTTCATACACTACAGGACAATTAAACAATTAATCTAGAAACAATTCAAAGAAATTAACTAAAGGCAGCTATTGTATAAATTAAAAGTAATAGCAGTACAGTAAATTTATGATGAAATGAATCTTATTAAAAAAAAAAAAAAAAAAAAAAAAAAAAAAAAAAAGACGACAAACTTACCAAGTAAAGGTGGCAACCAGTTCACATTTGTTTCGGTATGGGAATCCAGAAATAGGAGAATTTCCCCTTTTGCAGCTTTAGCTCCTATTAATCTCGCTCGTATCAGACCTTCTCTTTTGGTTGCTCTAATAACATGCACATTTGAGAAATGTTTCTGAACGTATTCATCTAAAGCTGTTTTCAACTGCACTGGAACAAATGAAATTAAAGTGAGTTTATTTTGGGGATCATGTGAGTTTATTAAACACATTTTTGGGGATATGCAATATAAATGTGATTTTTATTAGCTTTGGAAATACTTATAAACTTCTAAAACCGTATATTTATACTTTATTATTAAAGTACTGACGGTAGTTACACATTTCGCTTATTAAGTTCTAGATAAAATACTTTCGAAGGTCTTAGAGAAAATGCTTTTGTATCTTGCAGTTTCATCATATATCTTGCAGTTTAAAAAAAGTAAGTCTATTAGAAAATGCTGTTTCAGTAGGAATCAAATCCACTTGGTTGCTTCATCAGTTGAAAATATCAATATTTTACACTAACTTTGATATAATGTTATAGGAGAAAAGTATAAGGCTTTTCCAAAATTTTAATATTAAAATAAGCTATTATACATATTGGGTATTTAAGATTTTAAAGCTTATGGCTATTGCTTGAATACAGTTTTTAATACCATCAATATGTAAACTGGAATAAATGAAATAATTATGATTTCCTTCTAGAAAAATGATTGCGAAATGTTTATCCACAAATCCTTTTGAGATTTATTTTGTATTTCTTTTTAGATGCATCTGCGGTCTTCTTTTAATCTTTAGATATTTCTAGCTTTTTAATGCGACATTTCTAGCTTTGTGATGCTTTGTAATGCTAATTCCTCATTTTACCTTCGAGAGCTTTTGTTTTATGTTGCTCTTTAATATTTTTTATTAAACAGAATTTGAGTTTTAATTGCTAATTTTTTGTCTTAATTTTGGAAAAGGCTTAGTATTTTTATAACTTTTCACTTATCAGTTTCACACATTCACTTGTTTCACCATAAAGATTAAATTAATAAAACTTTGATATTGCTCAGATACATAAATCTGTTATTATAGTAGATCTGATATACAGGGTGATTCAGAATTCATCGTCAATATTTGGTGGGGAGGTAGGGAATAGGAAAAGAAGGTGATTTCACATAGGAAAGTATGGGCGCAGACGAATACATGGGGGTGTGGAGGGCGCTATGTGTACACAACTTCCATACATAAGCACAGCTGTTTGCCGTTGCAACCAGTCGCCATTCGACTAGGTGACTTTGCAGAAGTAACATGAACCGGTATACGTGGAATGAACTTACAGATATGCATGTAAATGCCAGGCATATTCCAGAAGGTCCGGTTGTCCATGCAACGCCATTGTGAGTCATGCATTCTAGCACATGGTCAGCAGTTCGAGCACCTCTGGTATGTCTGTAAAACCGATGCAAAGAAATGTTACTTGTAAGATAATAAATGTTTTTTTCTTTACTACTTCCTTTTGATGTGTTCTTTCCATCATTGAACTGGGGTCATTTTGTCCTACTACATCGCATATGAGCCCATGCATTCCTACGTGAAATCTCCTTCTTTTCCTATTCCCTACCTCCCCACCAAAAATTTATGATGAATTCTGAATCACCCTGTATAGATGGATATATAGATCTGATATAGTATATATTCTGCTCTATGACTTTTCGTGATCTATATCTTCGTGGTTCATTTAGAAATATGATCCATTATTCTATCAACTCAGACATATTGATTGATCCATTAAGTGAATTTAAAATATTTATTTATTTAAAAAAACAGTAGGATATGCCATATAATTTACAGAAACAGTTTCATTCCTCTATTCAGCGTTTTACTGAAAAGCATATTTCTCAAACGTTACAGATTTTTCTTGTTGCAGAACTGCGTTGTCATGGAATAGATCTTGAGAGGTTATGGTTACATAGGTACAGGCAATATTTCCCAGTGATTTTCAATGAATGAGACGCAATGAGATGTTCCATGGCTAACATGGGTTCCAGGCATAATAGAATTTTATAAATATTTCTCTGTTACATTTCTCTGGAGCTATCTGAAGTGTTAAGTGCGTTAACAACATTGGAATAGTAAAGAACGTAGGATAACATTACAGGAAATAGTAGCAGCTATATCAATAAAGTGTGTAGAGACATTAGATGGTTTTTGGGAGCAGGCAAGATGGATAATTAGGAATCGAACTACCTAGGAATCGATTTAGAATTGAACTAGGAACCGAATTAGGAATCGATTTCCTTCGCGAGGAATCGAACCATGGACCTCTGGAATACCGGCCCAGCGTGCAGAACCACTACACCACGAAGACACGCTTGGAAGGCGGGAGAATACCTTATAAGTGCTTAAAGGGCGATGGAAAATCTGCATGATGGTGGAATGTTGGACAAGTGCCGAAAGAAAGTGAGGAAAATATATTTTTGGGGAAAAACAGAAGTTGAAAAGAAAAATACAACTGATATGCTAAATAACAGTATATATCCTATTGTTTTGTAAACTAACTAAATACTTGAGTTAAATTTCTTCCTGTAGGTTTCCGCCTCAAAATATTCAAATTCCTGTGGCTCATGCTATAAGCCCAAAGAGTCTTTTAAGAATCCTTCATAAGAAGATATTTGATTTTCTAAATAAGTTGATATAATACGATGCTTTCACTTAAATATGCTAAGCTGATATGCATATATTGATTCTCAGCACATTTAAAATTTTTCACATTTAATATTTCTACTCAATACCTTCATTTCAAATTTTGACAAGTGTGCTTTCGTGTTCAAAAAACACTTTCGTAGAAAGAATTTCGTGAAAGCACCGATCTCCTTAAGCAGATAGCCTTATAGCGCTTTGCGCCAATGAAATAATCAGATCCAATTCAAGCATATACTACGAGGAAGAATTTTTTCATGTGTAAGGAGTAATCACATTTCGTCGTACCCACCCTTGTGAACGTTAGAGAATTTAGTAAGAGGAAAAATCTGTGGGTCGAATTCTGTCTAACAGGCAGCTGATAGTTTCCTGCTTTAAAAAGCTTAATAATCTCTAAATATGAATCTCATAATTGGGAGAAATTTAAAAAAAGATATGTTTTTAAAAGACCATTTTAATGATAAAATATTGATTAATTGATTGAGATAGCATATAGTAAAGTTTCAGTTTTTGTACCAATAAAAATATCTTTTTATCTTTTTTTATGTTCGTTTTGAGGCAGTTTCATAATTTTAAATAAAACATTTCTTTTTTATGTAATGAAAAATATAACGTAGCAGAAAAGAAGATATTCATATTTAGAATATAGTTCATATAAATCAGGAGAAAATATTTGCATCCCAAGAGGAAAGTATTCGGAATCGTGTGAATAATTAATACCAAAACTAAGCAAAGCAAAAAAAAAAAAGTATTTGTAGTATAAGATTGTGCTTTTTTGACATTCTAATAACCACTCACGTAGTTTAAAAAACTAATTTAAAATGATAAGAAATAACTGATAGTTTAGTCAAGAAAAAGTTTTAATTTTCGTGCAAACTTTAAATTCGGCTGATCATAGCAAAAAGAAATTGCTAGTGGCAGGGGTTAAACAGCCAAATTCGTATGAAAAGAATGTTCTCTTTTACTTAAGTAACCATGTAAGGATCTTAAGTTTTACTAACGTTTATTTTATTTTAAATCTTTACTGTCACTTCTTATTTTCTACTTCCGGCCAGAATTATAAGCGTTAAGGTTTTTATGCAAAGTTTGTCTGGCGAACGCCAAGTATTTAAGTTGTGGCTTTTTGCCAAGCGAGAGAGAGGAAGCAGTAAGTTCGAAGCAGGCCGCTTACCTTAGAAGTTACGCAGTTGCAGTGTTGCCTTCCAGGCCAGAGGTTTTAATCCTCTTGATAAATTTAAACGTATTGTAGTGTTCACAGTTCTCTGTACTACATACGCTTCCTGTTAATATAAGGCCAATCTTCCACGTTTATTATTCTAAAGTTAAATTAGAGTTTAGTTTTATTTTTATACTTTTACGTTTTGACCCCAAGTAGCGGGTCGGTGTATTCCGAAGTACGGAAGTCATTGTAAATAGAGAAAAATAAAGGGTTTTGTATACCCTTCTTGTGTATCCTGGTTACTTCCCACAGTTTTGAACATAGCTTTAGTAAGCTCTCTGTTCCGAGTCAGGTCCTTGCATGTTCCCGAAGAAGGTTAGAAGGAACATTGAACCTGATAGTGGCGCCCAACGAAGAAGAATAACCATGGCCGAGTTTCAAGAAGAACCTGTGCTGCCTGCAGAAACGGCTCAGAATCCAGAAATGCCAGCTGCCGCCCTGGAAGGATTTGGTTACATCGTCCAGACCATGCGCGCTTCGATGAAACCAGAAGCAACATTTAATGGAAACTCACCGGTAACCAGTTTTTTGGAAAAATTGGATGACCACTTCATGCTCTACCCCGTGCACGAGTTTCAAAAAGTTACCTTAGCTACCAGCGCTTTGAGGGGCCAAGCGCTTAACTGGTTCAAATGTATAGGCAGAAGTCTCTTGGGTCAAGCAGGAAGTCCCACCTATACTTACGAAAATTTCAAGACTGCCCTACTAAAAGCCTTCCCTGTTGTAAGGGATCGTGCGAAATTAGAAACGGAACTTTTTCAGTATATATCAACAAAGAATCGAAAACCTCTCAAGCTTTATTTTAAGAAAAATTCACGTCTTTCAAACTCTTGTATGGAAACCGTCCGGATCCTGAAATAATTCAAGTGATTTTGCCGAGGTTACTGCCCCAAGTGCAAGACTTTATTGAATTAAGAAATCCGACTACACTGGAAAAGTTATTTGAGCTAGCAATCCAGTTTGAAAGTAGAAGAACGGCGGACATTGAAAGAAGACGCCAATATCAACAGCGAAACCAATTTGGTGCGCCAAGACTACAGCAAACTCAAGCACACGGCTACGGAAGCAAAGCGAATCAGTGGGCAAGGAAACCCGAGCATTCAAAAACAGCCGGCGAACGTCGACAGTTCAATAGCAATCCAGGAAAAAAGTCTCAAGGCCAGTGGGAAAAAGAAGGAAAGCATGGAAATGAAAAAGGATTTAAACTAAAACGGATTTCTGCTGACGGGAGGGTGCGGAAATCCGAAGGCCACGAAAACCCCTCTTCCTTACAAGTTAAATACAGTAATGGTGAAAAATTTGACTCTTCCGAAGATTGAAGTGTTGGTGAATAATATCCCAGCCACCGCACTCCTGGATACAGGCGCGCAGTGTTCCTGTGTGGCAGAAGATTTTTTTAGGAAGTATTTTCGCAAATACCGCATATATAATTCGGATAATACGACAGTGTTAG